AACCTTTCATCCAATTTAAACAAAATCTGTTTGAAATCTGTTTTTCCGTTAATCAGCTGTCGCCCCCATACGAACGNTTGTAGCTGAGTTTCTGATGAAAAATAACTGCCACTATAGTTTGTCCATTTTTAATACAGAAGCTGCCCTTACGAATATATTTCCAGAGTACCCATTGTTTGATAATTCTAAGGAACCTTTTCAATACGACTCTGAGACCATTCTGAATATACTGGAACTTATTGGTGTATCAAAAGGCAGTGAATTTGCCAAAGCAGTATTGAATTTATATTTCCAAAGTCAAGAAAATTGTATCCTGTCTTGTCTGGTAATATTACTTTGCAAACTAACAGTAGGAAAGTCAAAAGAGAAGGATGAGGATATAACACAAATTGGTAAGATATTCAAAGTCTCTGTAGAGCTTTTTGTGACCTTAAATGCTGTTATTGTATTACTCTCAATAAATAAATGAGATTGATATCTAAGTCCATCTGAAGAAGAGAAAACTTACAATTTGCTACAGTAAGTTACCATATAAACACCAAAAATAAATTCATATCTTGATTATTGGTCTCCAGTAACTCGAAAACTTTAATGGAAGTTTGGGTGAGAAATTGATCTCCTCTTTTCACAAAATTGTATACCTATGAAAAGTTACTGCAGAATATTTTTGGAGATGCTATACAATTCACTATTTTTTCACCAGTATAAAGATATTGATTTTTTTTCTTATCCTGTAGAAATTGAATATACACAAACTCTGATTTCTCCACAAATGGTTTTTTAATTCTATGCCCAACTATAATTTTCATCATTTTTAGATTTATCCAAGGAATCGAATTTCTTAAAACAAGTAGGTAACATTTTATTGAAGAATAAAGTATCTTCAGAAAATATAATGGACATGTTAAGGAATATAGACTTCTTTCACAACGTGGAACTGACGAATATTGAAGAAAGGTAACAATAGTGATAATAGTTTTTATTGGAAAGAATCAACAAACAATACACAGCAATAATCGGAAATGTTTTTGAAAAAATAATAATTTAAATTAAAATTGAAATAACTGCAAATATTTATAATTATGGAAAGCACAAAATATTTGGAAAAAAATTTTCAGTTTGTTTTTTGAACTAATGGAACTACATTGAAACATTGAACTAATGGAAATACATTAGAAAATCTTTCTCATAACTTTTGGGGATGAATATAATTACTTATATATGAATATGATAATATATCAAATTCAGGTTTTTCTTCTCTACTTATTCAAAAGATGAATCAAATGTTTAAGTATAGCTATTTATCAAATATTAACCAAAAATGGTCTTATAATCCCGTCTGATATTTCACTCTTCCACAAGATACCCTCACCCTTTTCAAATCAAGTAGAATTTTCCTAAAGGTTTCTGTTTTCAAATGACAATGCATTTTATATTCTGAGAATTTTCCCAAATATTTGGTACTTCCCCGTTTACTAATATCAAATAAATAAAGTAATACAGCATATTTCATTTCTTCTTAAATTGCAGATATTCACATTTAATTAGTGAATTGAGGAATGAAACACGCAGTCAGGAGTCAAAAATGAAAGAACTAGCTAAAATGAAAAAACTAGTAGAGAATAATTTGATAAAAGTTGTAGGCGATTATAATGCTTTAAAAGTTCAAATGAAAAAATTGGTCAAAGAAAGTCAGGAACTGCATATNTATCATTTGTTATCCATGGCTTGGAAATTTTTTGTTTGAGTTTTATATTTTTGATAGGGCACGAGACATTGAAGCACCATGAAATCTGGTCCAGAAAATAAGAAAAACAAGTTGTCACATCCTGGTAGTATAATTCTATCCAGTCGACAGACATCAGATATGTTCGAAGCTCCATAATGTTTTCGGGATACAATTGACGCTTCGCTACACTTTTGACACACATGTCCCCATCCTCAATGGCAACACTACTCAAAGAGTAAGTCAAAAGTTGGCCTAAGTGGTCAGCTACATTTGGCTGAAAGTATCATTAGCTAGGGTAGTGACCATATAGTCGATACAAGTAGAACTAGTATGACCATTCCTATAAGTAAAAATTCTAGTTGGGCCCATATAGTGGTTTTCTAGAAGGTAACAATCAAAAATATCTTTAAGAAGTTTTGTACCTTTGTCTGATGACTTGAGAAAATCTATATTAAAATCTCCACACAATATCAAATAATCTGAACGATCCGTAGCCGTGCTAATTGCCTGGGTCAAGTAATTGATAAAAATATTTATGTCGCCATAGGGTGGCCTATACACAGTTATTACGCATTTTTTTTTACCATAGCACACTAGCACACTATTATATAGTTGTTAACTTAGTAATGAAAACACAATATTGAACTAGTTTAACAATCAAAAGCGAATATTATAAGCGAATATTATAAGGTAGGAATAATCTTTACAGAAATTCATTTCAGGTTACCCAATCACAGGATTTTAAACATTGCCTCCAATGGAATGGATATATAAAAAAAGTCATCTCACTTGGTATTAGTAGATTTTGAAATCCAGTATCTGGAGCTAATAACCCTCAAATCAGGTCTGCCACAGAAAAAAACTCTCAGGTTGTTATCTAGGATTAGCTTCAGTAATGGTGGAAGCAGAAGCGGATTAAACGTGGAGAGCGCCCTAGGCAAGCACCTCACAGGCGCCCCTCTAGCACACAATTTTTAATGAATTCTGACTTCGAATAATAGCAAGCTTCCCTTCGTAGCCTCGCGCCCCTAGGCACGTGCCTAGTTTGCCTTACGGATAATACGCCTCTGGGTGGTACGCAAATAGGATGGAATTTTAGCTCCGGTTAGTATTTTGATACCCACGAGGTATATCTAATGAAAAACATCATGTTTAACTTACCTGTTGATACAATCCACAATGCTAGACAATAATATATTATCAAACTACCAAAATCAATTTAAGTAAACATTCCCACTCTTACCCCACCTAGTTTTAAAACTGAATTTTTCAAGCGATATTTTAGCTATAATATATGCCAAGTGATCAACCTGTTACCAAAAGAAATATGAAATTAAGAACTTTTTGTTTTACGGAAAAGATTCAAACTCCTTCTGTTCAAAAGCCAACTTCAAGTATAAACTGCCCAACCCTATACATTTGTTATCATTATGAGACCAGAATAAGTCTCGGTAATGGACGTCTTCTCCAGCATCTTAATAGATATTTGAACAATCCCAATTTTTTTTTATGTATTACTTTTTTTTTGTCTTAGCTTAGGTAGAATCTTTTTTAGGTTACGTGGAAGAACAACTCAGTAGCACTTATGCTAACTGAGTTGAACTTCGCCTTTTGTTATGTCAGCAACTAGCTCTGTAATTTATTTAAATATTTGTATGTAACTACAGCTTCGAAACAATAAAGACGATTATTATTATTATTATTTATTTCCATATTTAACTGTTTCATCGCAGTATTCCTGAGACTACGCTCAATATACTTGTTGAACTCACTAACAACTACTTCGATCAAGGAACATTTCTTTCAATTCTTAAAACCGTTGTAATTCCTCTCCATGAAGGCGGCAACAATGAAGATCCAGCAAACTTTAGGCCTATATTGCTCATCCCAACTGGTAAAAAAAAGAATAATGAAATTTTTGACCAGTAATGGGATATTCAATGCACATCAGTATGGCGTGAACAAGCGAAGTTATATCAACATTATTGCAATTGGTGTATAATGAAATCAACAGCGGGGAAGCCACTGCAGCAGTGCTATCCAAAGCGAAGAATTGGTTTGACTCAAATCTTTTATCATTGAATACCAGCAAAACAAATATATTAGCATTCAAGTGTA